CATCTTCCCAGGTGCCAGGGAGACGAGTCCCACACACCACCCGTCCCTCTCTCCAGGAGGGGCGGGTGACGGTCCATGAGGATTTCCACCGGGTCCAAAAAAAAAAAAAAAGGTTTTTGGTTGTCTCCCCCTCGTGGTAGGCCACCTTGTCGTGGTGAGGGGGCTTGTAGGCGGGCGTCTGTCTGGAAGCCGCTGTGTGCCGCTTTAGGCATCGGCGGTTTCCGGGACGGGCGCCCGTCGACTAAGAGCCTACCCTTCCCCTGAAAAGGGGAAGCAGGGAGCCCGGCGACTCCGGTCTCGGCTGCCTCGACGCGAGTCGAGACAGAACCGAGACCATTCGCCGGTAGGGGATGAGGCACCCCGAGTTCAAACCTCCGGCTTCCGGGGCCGATAGGGGGGAGCTTGCTCCACCCACCGGACCGGGTCGTCTCCCCCTCGATTCCATTGCACGCCGGTGTTCCGGCAGGGATCGGGGGGAACCCGGGCGAGGAGGCAGGAATCCCAGTTGCCATTGCACGCCGGTGTTCCGGCAGGCGGCTGGGATTCGGGGGGAGGCCACCGTCACCCATTGCACGCCGGTGTTCCGGCAGGGTGGCGGTGGCAAGGGGAGCTCCTCCGTCAGCGGGCTCGTCGTGGGCGGGCCCGAGGGCGGAGGGGAGCCGGACCCCGGAGGTATTGGGACGTGGTCCTAGCCGAAGGGTGGGCCGGAAGACGTGGCCTCCCCGCGGTTGATTCGGACGTGGTCCGTGTCTTCCGGGGGGAGGGGCCGGACCTCCGCGGTAAACTGGCACCCAGGATCCGCGGAGTGGGATGGCAGTCAGAGGCTGGGTGGCAATCTGTCGCTCAGCACCCGCCTGTCTCCGTGAACTCGTCAACCCCTGTGTCTGGGGCCGACGTCCCGTTGCTGGGGCGTGCGGCCTGGCATATGGGGGTGGCGAGGGAGTGGAGGCAGGAGGGAAGAGGGATAGTTCCCTCGCGGTTGGGTCGGACGTAATCCGGCCCTTCCGGGAGGGGGCGGGGCCCCGGGTACACGTCGGGTCTGTGACCCGCGTCGCCCGGATGGCCCGGCATGGACGGGGGATCGGGGCCGCTCGGACGTTTCCGAGGCAGGGTCCGGTCCCCCGGAGGACCCCGGGGGCCGCTGGGACGTATTCCCAGGCAGGGCTTCGGGGTCTCCGAGGAGTTGGTCGGCAAGTCTGCCGGCCAACACCCGATCCTCCGCAACGAAGCGGCCGGTCCCTGCGTCTGGGGCCGACGTCCCGCTGCTGGGGCGTGCGGCCCGGCGTACGGGGCTGGTCGTGGAGGGCGGAGGATCGGTAGTGTGCGTGCGTGTGTACATGGGACGCGGTCGACTGCTGGTGGATATTTCCCGGAGACTAACCAAGGGGGGAGTAGTAAACCCCCCGACCGGGGACGGGCGGTGACGTTGGTACCTGACCTCTGCCGTGGACTACGTGGGTGCGTAAGTCCGGAGTATTCCGGCAAAAACCACAGGAAGCGGCATGTTTAATGTGGGAAAACCGCTCCCGTTCGTCCGTCTGGAGCCTAGCCGGGAGTTGAAACCAGTACGCCGGGCGCGTGTGTGGAGGGGCCCGTTAGCCGCCGTCCCCTCATACCCATGCTGAGGGGGAGAGTTCCTCGGCAAGCTCTAGCCCGGGGGCGGGGTGAGCGACCGAACGGGTCGGCACGCGCCCCGTCTCTGGGGTGAGGGTAAACCTTTAGCATAATTGTGGGCCTGGCCGTCTCCAGGGACGCTTTTTGTAGATTCACTGGTCGGGATAGGGGTGGCTCCCCGACAAGCGGCCTCTCCGCTTCCCGGCCCTTAATTAGGGCTACACTAAACCGGGGATAGATCCCCCACCGCGGTGGGGGTCCCACGATGGGCGAACCGGGTTATCATAAACACTGCCGACATGTTTTCCTTCACCAAAAAACCCACAATAATTATTAAGAGGATAGAGCAGGATGCGCGCACGAGTGCCGAGAAGACGGAGGCAATGGACACGGATTGCCCCCTTGGACAGCGAGGCGGAAGCACTGGGCCGGGTCCGTCGGGACTGCAAACACCTAGGAGCAGGGAGAGAGGCGCTGCGAGGGTGGATGCGAATTCGCTGGAAGGCACAGACGCGGAGACAGAGGTGGACGTAGTGGACTTCACCGAGCAGGAGCCTGCAGAGAGGAGGGGCAGACCCCCGACAACGGGTAAGGGCTTTCTTGTCAGAGAGCGACAAGCGGCCAAAAAGGAGGTGAAGCGCCTTAAGGCGCAGCAAATGGCGCTGAGGGACATCCTCGACAAGGGTGTCCTTCCGAACCCCAGGAAGAGGAGGGGGATAACCCCCGAATTTGAAACGGCCAGACAAATGGCCAGTATGACTGCGGAACAGATCGCCGCAGAGGTGACGGAATACACCGACATT